CTCTTAATATAATCAATGTTGCCTTTGCTCAGGGAGGTTTGCTTTTGTGTGTCTCTCCAATTGGGTAATTATTTTAAAATTAGTTATGTTTGTGTGCAAATGCTCACTTGTTTTTTTGAAAGGAAAACCTGGTTGCGATGTAATTTCTCACCACCTGAGATTTAGGTAATCTAATACCATGTATACGTCTTTAAAATCCTGACTAGATTAACATATTCCACTCCTCCTCTCAGGAGAGAAAAATGTTCTCAAATTAGCCACGTCCCACAAATCACCAGGTAGCATGAAATGAACTACACCCCCCTCAGGCTCATTTGGAAGCAGTTAGTCGCCGCTCGATGCAACAACAAAACAATCAAAAGTTTTCGCCCCAGTTTTTGGGTCTTGTGTCTTTCTCCCTTCAACCATCTCTTTTGGTGTACCTCTCTGTAGCGGTAAAAAAAAACAGCAATTAGTGACACCATATGGCAGAGAACGGCAAGGCCGCTTTGAACACCTCCCAGCCTGAACTCCTCCATATGCTGTGGAATTTGCCTGTTTGTTGTCTCTCATTAATGAGAAAAGCGCTGCACCCGTTTTCTGCTTCGTGGGCGGCAGAGGCGTACACTATCCCACCTACACCTCTGCGTTTTACCGTCTGCTGGCCAATCAAGCAAACAAGTTAGCAAAGTCTCATTTAGTTGGGGAGCACCTGCTTGAGTCGTTTTTTTGTGTGCGCGTAGGCCAGACTTACAATTTGGTCAGATAACACAGAAAGAAAAAATGTTTGAGGGGAGTTGTGTTGTGCAAAGCGGAGCGGCTGCATTTCAGGAAATATGCTGTGTAGATTAAATTTATAATCCCCTGCTAATGTTATTTTTGTCAATGGAGATGCTGAGTCGGGGGAAAAAAGTTGAGGAGAGGCTAAAGGGCAAATTCAGCACATCTGGAAGACATGAGTGCCACACTGAGAGCAGTGGATTGATGAAACAGAAATGAGAGAGGCGGCAGGAAAAGCAATAAAAAGACGCTGGAGAACACGACAAGGCGGAGAACCAGAGAGAGCACACATGCCCGTTTTTAAGCTCCTGATTGCTGGTGGGACTGGCACAGATCCTCAGGCTGGCACGGAGCCAGGGTGACATCCTGTTGCCAGGGGCGACATTATGGTTCGGCCGCAGCCAAGGAAGGCCGAAGCAGACGGTCACCTTGAGCCATGCCAGCCTCCTGTTTAGTTCTGACACCGCCATTTATCGTCCGCGGCTCTGGATACCGCAGCGTGTTCACACAGAGACACTGAAACAAACACCGGCTGTTAAAAATAGCCTTTTTTCTCACCTATCACACCATTGGGAGTCAGCAGTTTAGCCGAACAATAAAAATGACCCAGAGCAAGTCTTCATGAAAAGCCAGACGAGCAACGTGGAGCCATTACTCGGTTGTTGCCTCAGATCTGTGGCACTAGTGTCAGCATGGGTTAGATCTGCAGCATGAGTGGTTGTTTATTCGGCTGCTTCTTCTCCTTGTCTCTCCAGATTGTGTTTATAAGCGGTTGCCATAGCAGCAGCCACATGACCGCCAGCACAGGCTCTTTTTTCACCCCGTGGGCTTATTGGCCGTGTCTGGTTCAGCTTCTGCTTCTGTAAAAGGACATAATGCTCCATAAAATGATAGCTTTGTGTATATGTGTATATGTGTCTTTGTACTGTTGTGTGTTTTATACCCTGCTACCTTCTCAGTGACAGCTTCTATTGCAGATCAGATTGTAATCTCTTTTAACTGGACAGGCATTGAAGGTTTGAGGGACGTATCACAAGATTAGGGTCATGAGGGACTCGCCCACACAATGTGGAGTTTGGGCAGTCAGAACCTTCTTTGAAAGATCACACCTTCACAAAGGTCACTGTGTTTTCCAACATTAGGATCAACTCAAATAAGCTTCACTTGATAAATTCTGTGTTGCTTTTGTTTTTTACACCACCTTAGGGGTTATGTTTTCACTCCTGTCCGTTAGTTTGTTAGTTAGCTTGTTCCTACAAAATCTGCTGAACGGATTTCCCCAAAACTAATTTAAAAAATCTGAAAACATTCAGGGGACTGATATCTATGAGTTTGTGTAATTTGGTGAAGCTTGACTGGATTTAATAGGACTGTTGGGCCTTGGTGGAGGTATGCCCTCTACTCTACTGAGTGCCATCCTCGTAATAGATGTAATTAAAGGAGTATTTACAGGATTCTGCATTACATGGTTCCATTGACCCTGTGTAAACCGTTCCATTCATTGTAGAGTATTACATCTTCAGGCCAGACTGATTCTATGATACAGTTCCTTCAGTGCCTCTGTACCATCCCTGATCCTGTCTGTCAGATTGAAGCATCAGATAGTTTTGATGGACGTGCAGAACAATGTGCTCACAGTTAAAACCCTGACACCTGAGCTTGTGACCCCGAGACACATTCAGCCTCTGTCTGTAATACTTTAGAGTCTCGTGCAGTCTCTTATCTTTCACCCACAGAAACCTCTGTCCCTTTTTCTTTCACCTGTCACGATGTGATTGGACGGTGGAAAATTCTGCCTCTGGCCGTCCATTTAGCACATGAAGGGACTTTAGAGGTCAGATTGTGATGGTCTGAACTCTAAGGTCACCTGGCCACATAATGTGATGATTTCAGCATATGGCCAAGTTAAGAGGGAAAGGGGTAATTCGCAGTTTTTATTTAATCTGCTTGGAGCACCAGATGGGTCGAGGCTTTCACACGTGGAAGTGCAAACCAAGGTTCTTGTCTTTTTTACATTGTAGGGAGCGTACTAAAGACTTCTGTCTGATGGGTTGTGTTTACTTATACTTGACATTGATTGGTTTGTAGACGCATGTCTGACATCAGCGTGTTGTCATTTCAGCCAGGAGCAGTCTTTCCTTTTGAATTGATAAAATGATTGAACCGGTTTATTTAGTTTTTTTATTGCCACTTTAATATCATTATGTTACCTTCAGTAGTCATACTTGACACTAGTTAGAGTTTGCAAAATTAATGTTGCTGTCTCAACTTCCTGCAATTGGTCCAAAAGTCAGAAATATCAAAAAGTAGTAAACCATAGTTTAGTTTGATCCAGACTGTTTGTCCAGACGGTGATCAGAGGCAACTTTCACGCATCTTATTTTGATTAATACCAAACAAGGTTTGTGCTTGACCTGAGGTTAACAGAGCAGGAGGTATCATCTAATAATCTGCCTCTTACAGATAAAGGTTTTTCTGAACCTTTCATGATCTTTGGAAAGTTTTTACTTCCTCTGCTGTTTTCTCATTTATTTCCTCATATTTCTTGAGAGTAATGAATCCATCATCCCTTCTTCATTGACTTCTCTGAACATCAAAAGCAATGCAAGTATCTATGAAATGTTATTTCCTATTGTGTCACACACTGACCCCTGTCCCTCAGGGCCCTTTCTCACTGTGACGCTCCATAACACAAACACAACCTGCCACCTGGCACAACAAAGCCCTGGCTTCCTTCTTTTTAATAAATTCAAGAATGTTTGAGAAGAAAGAGTGAACATTCAGATATGTAGGAAATTTTATGGGAAACAATAATAACTATACAGAGTGGCATTTTAACTCGACGGCTGGTGGATGAGAAAAACAAAAGGCAAACATCTGCCAAAGCTGCAAAAATAATTTCTTTCAATTCACATTTAGTAAGACATAAAATGACCCCTGCTGGATGAGCATAAATACCCCTAAGTGTCTGTGTGCGACAGGATTTTGAAGATGGTTCTGGCTCTGTTCCAGTCTGTGTTTTTATTTCACAGCAAAAGAAAAGACTTATAACTGAATTTACTGCTCTGGCCACAGTGATTTATTTAGTGTGCTGACGCCAGTGCTTTCACTTTACTCGTCCCTGTAATGTGTGGCGGGCCACTGAAGCTGGATAAAGAGCTTAGACTGTCTGACCCACTCCTGCACTCCCACTCACACCTAAAGCATCACACACACACACACCCAATCATTTCACACACATTCATGGGGGAGAGCAGCCGGGAAACATAAAGCTGCAAATATTTTTTCAAAGCCTAATTGAGTCTTTTTAATACTCTTAGTGGCACTGAATGCTGTTTCGATATGACCCCCGGTGCATCCAGTGGAGTAGATGCTTTGTATTAGCTGCATGTTCTGTCTGTTAAAATCTGGTTTTGTTCCGCTGAATGTATTTGCCATAATAATGGAGCCTTTGGAAATTAGAAAGCAGATAATAGCTCAAATCTAGAAACACCAATGCACCACAGGATAATGTTTCATCTCTGTCAGAAAATAATTAAAAGTATAATATATCTGTTTAAATGTTTACCAGAATATCACAACAACTTTACTTTTTTACTTTAATTCACTCATCTCACTTCATTGCTTTTTATGTGTGTTTGCCTTGTGTGTCAGTACTGCAGGTGCTGAAATTGCTTAAATTACTGTATCAGTGGTCTGGCTTGAATGAACACTGTTCAGGGCGTCATATTTGGACATTTATGTCAACGACACGGCGCCTTCTCTGCACATCTGCCGCTGAAAAGGGAGTGAGGGTGCTTGAAAAAGGAAATGGGTTGTTTTGATAATCACTTTGACTTGTTCCCCCTTCTTACTCTCTTTAATGTGGTGTCATTATTGCTGAAATGTAATTAGCTATGCTAATGGAGTGGCATTGGGACTTCCGTCTCAACACTTAGACCGACACTGGTAAAAAATGTGCCGTAAATGAATTGGGATGGCGAATGGAGAGGTTGAATGGGCATGAGAGGGCTGAGTGGAGATGCTGCGGGTGTTGTAGAGGATGTTATTGAGTGTGAGGGCTAAAGTAATCCAGTGGAAGTGCAATGAAGAGGGGCTTTTTAAATTAGGAATTGTTGGGGGTGAAAGACAAGAGCTGGAATCAGGAAGTGGATAAGGATGCTATTGGGAGAAGTGAAGGGGCAGAAAAGCCACAAAAACCTGTTCAATCATTTTCTGTGTGTGTGTGTGTGTGTGTGTGTATGGAGAGATTACGGGGTATCACACAACAAAGCTGTCCCTTTAGTGCACGATAGCTTTAACAGGCATGCTCCATTAATGTTGGGCTGCAGAAGAAGATGCATTTTGGTGAAACCTCTTGGATAGCAGAATGGTAAAAACACTGCCTCTGATTCTCCCTTGAGCAATTCATACTGGCCTGCTCTGTGAATTTAAATATCCACTTTCCAGCTTGAATAATATTAAGATGATATAATTGGATTGATGCATTACTGAATTATTACCTGACAGCAGAGTGTGTAACCTTGAACAGTTTGCAGGAGGAGTGCTTGTCCGTATCTCGGGGACCATAATCGCGGCTGGTGAGTTGTGGAGTCATTAATAGATTAAGAGAGATCAGAGATGCTCGAGTGCAGAGCCGGGTCATCGGGGAGGCTGCAATTTAAAACGCAGAGCTTATGCCGAGCTTTTTCATTTTTACTGTCCTGTCATGTCCTGTCTTGTTTTGGCTCTTCTGTAGATTGTTTCTTCACACCAAACACAAAATGAACTTTGAATTGAATCGTCTCTTATCCACTAGGTGGCGCTGTGCATCTACAATATTAACATAAGACTAGATAGCAAGCAGTCTTCTCGGCTCCTTGGAAAGCAAACCCAAATATCTGTAGGGTGAATACATTATGATATGAGCAGAAGCAGCGTTTTTTTACCCTCCAGGAGGCTGTTTGTTTTTCCTGTAATGGCTGAAAAGAGGCTGTTCCTCCTCTTCTCACAAAGCCCCGCAGCCCGCAGACATACCTGTGTGAGCGCCGGGCCCTGACCCGCGTCCAACCTCCACAACCTCAGAGAGGGATCGGGTGTTTTGTAGGGTTGCCAGGAGCTCCATAAGGGATCCAGACCAGCTGAGGTCTGTTTTAACCCTCAACACTTCCCCCGTCTCTCACTCTCTCTCTCTCTCTCTCTCTCTCTCTCTCTCTCGGATAGACTGGAACACTCCAGAGATCTGCAGCCTGAAGGAGTCTGTTGCTTTATTCTCGCATGTACAGTGAATGTGAAAATGATTTTCATTCTCAGTCTCCATTCAGGGTATTAGAAGTAGTAGTATTCCCTCTCTCCCACTCTGCGTCTGTGTGTGTGTGTGTGTGTCTGTACGCACCTGCTCACCCTCCCTTTCTTTCAACTCCCATGGTGAAGCCTAATAAAGTCCCAAGAATCCTCACCATCATGTTTTGATTTTGTCCCGGGGTTGTTTCTTCCTAACAGTTTTGCTCTCCAGGGAAGTTCCGCTTCTCCCACTGTCTGCTCCACGGCTGCTATTTGGCAGAATTTTCCGAAACGTCCAACAACATTTTATTCCATTTCAGTAAACCATTTAAACTTTTACCATGGCTGTAAATGCTCTTTATTTTCTGCTGTTTCATTATTCATTCACTGTATTAACTCAGAATGACAGCGTAAAGGATGCTCGTTGACAGCTTCAGCACCTTGGATAGCTCCTTCACACTCAGGAGCTGAAGTGGAGCTCTCTCTGACAGTGTGTGGTCGGAGCCGCACTGTGTGAAGAACAAAAGATTATCGCTCTTTTGTTTGGCTCTTTCTTTCTTTTCTCGCAGTAATATTATTGAATAGGGATTCTGAGTGTTTGCCATGTGAATGCCTCACTGGATTCTGCTTTCCACTGTTGTAAGCTGCTGAAGGAAGGCAGGCAGGCAGGCAAGGTATGTGTAAATATGAAACACAGGATTGCATGAGTATTTCTTTTGGCTCGTATCAGTCCATCTATGATACCTGAACTCACAGGCACACTCGCAGTAACAGTGCAGAAATGTAAAGTGGACGCTGACAGAAGCTCATTTCAAAGGCAGGACCGTGGAATAGGCTCATGAAGGCACTGTGACGGCCGGTTTTGGGGCTGTTAAAGGGAGGAGTGTCAGCGCTGTGATTATCAGCAGACAGATAGCGGATGACAGCTGCCATTGGTTATTGATGGCTTTCATAATTAAAATCCCTTATGGGGGGAACCCAAAGAACAAAAGAGAAAATCACACAAATGATGAATGGTCCTTTCATCCTTAAGGCTGATATAAGACCTCTGCATGGATATTGCTTTCCAGGAAACTCTCTGAATATGGATTCAAAGAGGAGCCCAGTGCTTTTAATATTGCCAGAGCTCGCACTGCCTGTATATTTATGTGTGTGTGTGTGTTTGAGAAATTATTTACACAGTATGAGGAAATAAGGACAAACTGAACAAAAGAGAGAACAGGTCAAACATAAATCAAGATATATACCAGATTTCTTCTCTAATTTTACTGCAGCAGTGGATGGGATTGGGCTCATTGTGTCCCTTTAACACAGGTTTCTTCCTGAGCTAATTCTTAGTATCACCAATAGTAGCTCCTACAGTTTATGCAGGATCTAAATTGTCCCTTTCGATCTTTAATTAACAATACCAGTACGCAGAACCCTGAACTGGGGTATTGTGTGTCCAAATTGCACCAAATTTAACATGGCACTTCCTTGGTTCCTTACCGATACACATGCCAAGTGTGAAACTGATATGATTTGAGGTTCTTGAGATATGCGAACCACATACAGACAGGTAAACAGAGATTTCTGAATAGATACGATTTTGACGAATAATACTGTCAAGTTTTCGCACATATTTTTGTTGTTCCAGACTATATCAACACTAAACTCAGATCCTGCTGCATGTACTATGTATAATACATGCTGTACCTCACCTCAGACATTCTATGTACCTCTATTGTATACTGTTGTATTCAGTTCTTCTTCCCCCGGGGAGAAAACAAACAGACAAGTGTACTGTACGAGATCCTTTTTGAAAAGGGCATAGCAGCAGATCAGACAGGACGACTGCCAGTGATAGTCTGCTCCCCTGCAGGCTTGATGAAGTATAAAAGCTGCACGCCTCCTAGCCCTGCATGGCATCTGTGTGAATGAGAGAGAGGAGGGGTATTAGAGTGCCAGCAATACATAGGAGATTCCTTCACGTCTGTCCTGATGCTGTGTTTGAGCGTGCGTGTGTGTGTGTGACGCTGTCAGAGTACAGCTTCCACATCCTCCCCTCCTAACCTGCTAAACGGTCCCCTTAAACCCACCCACCACCACTCAGTTCTCCCTCTCCCCACCAGGACGGGGCTGCTGTGACATCACTCATTCCCACGCACTCTGATTGGCTGACCAGTGGAGGGAAGGATTGTTCCCGCAGCCTACAGTGAGAAATTAAGAGAGAGAGAGAACGTGGGAGGGAAAGACCGAGGTAGAGTGTGTGAGAGGAGAGAGAGAGAGAGGGCGAAAGGGACGAAGCAAGAAAGATTGATGCTGAGACAAGCCGGCACAGCACTGCTCTCTCTCACGCACAGACACACACACACTCACACACACACAAACAGTCTTTACATCACGCGTACACTCGCATCACACTCCCAAGCTGCTTAACAGGCAGGAAAAAAAACACTGAGTGTGACAGAATCTGCAGCCTGTTACTGCAGGACAGGACAGAGGACAGCAAAGACGTAAAAGACGAGAGGAGCACAAGAGGGTGAACCTTCCTCCCTGCTTTGCCTCAGAGCAACAGTTCCACCGTTGTCATCTCGGGAGGTCCAAGGGCTCCAGGGAGACCTTTAAAAACATCCCCCCTCCCCTCCAAAAAAGGGGGGAGAGGCAGCAAGGACAGGAGCAAGGGCAAGTGTAGCCTCTCCTGGAAGTTGTCGTGGATGTCTTCTCAACGTCCCCATGAAAACTGGCGGGAACCGAGGCGTATTCTGGGGCACAAGATGGCACGACGAGCAGGAGGCGAAGCGTCCCCTAAAAAGAACACATCCCTCAACCTGGTGACGGGGTACTTCCACTACCTCCGCGGTGAGTGGCACAGTGTGTTTTACTCGGAGAGACAGAGAGTGTGAGGAAAAAGAAGGAAAGTGCAATGTGTGTGTAATTTTGCATTTGTTGAGGGTACGTGCGTGCGTGTCTGATTTAGAGTGGCACTGCAGCATGGATCGTACGTGCCTACTGTATGGGAGTGTGCCTTTTGCAGTGCAGTTTCCCTCAAGTGTACCCTGCGGGGCAGATTTTTTTGGGCAGTGGGTGTGTTGTGTTTTAAGCGAACTGGGCCAAAATTCAAAGGGGGCGTTTCCTCCTTGGCAGGATATGCGTCTTTCTGTGCGTGTAACTGTGTGTGTGTGTGTGGTTGTGTGTGTGTGTGTGTGTACAGCAGGTGAAGAAAGCGTATCCAGGAAAGAAGTAGCAGCTCACTGCATGTGTCACGCCACAGCAGGCAGACTGTCAAAATGTTTGATTTCTTATCTCCCTGTCTGACTCTGTGGTTGTGTGCCTGCCTGCACATCTGTATTTCACATCCAGCTTTTGGTCTGCCTGCTCCACTGCGTGTCTCACTGTCTGATAGATGAGATTAGATTAGACTAGAGGATACCACAATATAAACAGAATGGTTCTTTTCCAGCTTGTTTGCAAGGAGTTTGTGCATGTACTTCTTTCCTTCATCAGCCTCTGACTTGAAAAACAAGATTTTTCTGATATTTCACTCTGTCACTTTTACTGCTGGGGGGGCAAAGGGAGAATTCAGGGGCTGCGGATGAAACTAACGATTACAAAGGCCAACACTCGCCAAGGAGTTAATCAAGTGTGGTAAAATGCTCCTGCGATGCCTGGCTGCTGAGGACGGCTGTTTCCCTTTGTGATATTGAAAGAATGTGAGCGTCTGTGTGTGTGTGTGTGTGTGTGTGTGTGTGTGTGTGT